TTAAAAACAATGATATTTGTACCATTAATAGCCAAACTAAAAATGCCAAGCTACAATAGAAACATTAGATTGGCACTTGAACAATCTAGAAATACGTCTCATTTAACCATGCATAATTTCAAGAGATCGTTCCAAAATTTGTGGCTAGCTATGCATAAGCAGCTAATATATCACATGAAGAACTTTAACATGAACTAGGATTTAATAATTACTATAATATGTCAATTAACCCATTGTCCAATAGTACTAAAAAATATAAAGAACATCGCAACATATTTTTTTTGTATGATAATAATAATGATTAAAAGCATATGGAATGTGAGAACTATTTTAAGGATTGGATAATAGGTGAGAATTTGATGTTAAGAACAAGAGATGCAAGATTTGAGGATTGTATAAGAATATTCGAATGTATCAGATTGGATGTAGTTATTGAACAAAAAATGGTTATATGGAAAAGAAAAACTAAGAAAACAAAGAAAATCAATGGAAGATGAAATGAACACTTGCCTTCATTAGACCCAAGAGAGAACAACTCCAGAAAACCAAATTTTCACATGCTCTTTTTTTGCTGATTTAAGAAACTTCTGTTCCCTTTTCTTTTCACTCAAATAGATAAACATTAGAGGAATAAAGATGCTTGAGTAGATAATTTAGATGGAGAGAGAGAGGAGTTTGTTGATATTTCTCAGGGGTGCGGATATATTTATTCGTGAAAGAAGTGATTTTGTCACAAGAGGAAAACTTGCAGAAAACTTGCAGAAGATGGGATCAACCAAAACTGAAAAACATCATTTCGGTAGGGATTTCCTTGAATTGAGTTTTGAGGGGTTAGTGGATTATTGGCTATGAACTTAAAAGAGATAATTGGGCCTTAATTGCACTAATGTACCCAAATAAAGGACCTTAAATTAGCAAAAAAGGTACTATGGTTCCATAACGAAAGTTATTTGTTCTTACTTGAACATAACTAATATCAAAAGAAAAAGGTTGTGGTTATAATGAAATAAATTATAGTTTGAGTCGAAGGACACGTAATAAATTGGATCAAAGGTATAAATAAATATACAAAGGCACATTCTGTAGTGGTTGTTACAAACTTTTTCTATGATAAAAGTTCTTATATATTTTTATTTATGATGATGACTTAATGAGCTAAAGGAGTATTTTCAATTGGACCTATACTTAAATCCCAAGTATACCATGGCACTTGGACATCCTTAAGCTAGGACTTGGGATACTTTTTAAGTCATTATTTCAAAATCAACAAGGCTTATAATAATTTGGATGGATCTATAAAAGAAAAGTAGAAAAGACTGAAAATCTATGTTACCCGGGTATTTCTATTAGGAAGTCGTACCTATACCTGACACGTACACCTACTCAAACCTCTTGGACACTTTTTGAATATATGCATGTGTTTATTCCGACGTATACTCAGTATGTAATACATGTTTTAATTTAAACACTTCTCACATACACTTTTTGCCTGGATTATATTCTGGCATTCTGCACTTCACTTCTATTTCTTATATATTGAGCTGATATAAATGAAAAAACAATGTTTATCTTATGTAATTTTAATACGATCAATACACATAACATGCATATTTATAGCAGTGTCCCAGTACCCTACCTTTTACAAATTTTTTATTTCCTGTACCCGCACCCCTACCCATGCAACCTAGATGAGAAAGTTAGCAAGTATTATATAACTCTCACAGATATCTCAACCACTGTCATATGCTTTTTAACATGTTAATTTAATGAGACGAGTAGATCTAAATAGTCTTTCACACCTATAGGTATAGGATACAGTACATGCATCGAGTTCAGTTTTCCTCAATTTCCATATTTGCCATTGTTTATACATTAAAACTATTTCGTTTTATTTAACTAATTTCCCACTTCTACTTTTCTGCTACAATTGATGTTCTTTTGAGGTGTAGTATGACAGCTAAGTTGGCACGGTCTAGATTTATATTAAAAATCCATGTTACCAGATATGATATAGTAGATTGCTAGATATGATATCGTAGACATAATTATTCAGGAATAAATAAATGGTCTGATGTTGTTTATCCATGCGTTAAGTTTTCGGTAAGTTAACCAATTTTAGAAAAAAGTTGAAGTACAGTCTTTGAGGCATTTGATGCATGATTAACTAACAACAAAACATTCGATTTGTTGTTTCTAGGTAGTTTATGCTTATAGATTTGTAGATTGGCACGAAGCTTAACTTGAAGATCAACTTTTTGGCTGCTAAAGACATTAGTCTAACTTAAACGTTCCAATACTCCATGATTTTTACCTTTATTGTATGATCCACGACACATACATTTTTATTGAGCTAGGAAGTACCTGTGATAGAAATTTGAGGGCGATAATATGGTGGATTTTAGATTAGAAACGATTATCTACTAACCATATTGATGTCATTAAAAATATATCAGAGTAACAAGTAACAACAACGTGAGAACATTTCATAGATAGACAAATTTTGTTCCTCTTACCTCATGTTTACACCAGGGATTAGCTTTCAGCCCTTATTTTTTTGCATCAGATGTGGACATGCTTATTGTACATATTCATGGTGTATGTTATCCGTAGATGACATAATATTAGTTAATAAGACTACAAAAGATAAAATTCTTAAAATAGAAAGATGTAGAGAGGTTTTTTAATCTGAAGGATTTAAATTAGCTGAATAAGAACATGGTAGATGGAAAGCAGTTTATGTAAAAATGTGAAAAAATGAAGGTTTACCACATTTATTGTCAAGCTATATGTAGTATTCACTTTTACTACTTGGGATTGTTTATTCGTCAACATGGTGAGATTTAGGATGATTGGTTCATCAAATCAAATTGGAATGGTAAATTAAAGCAGTGCTTTTAGAGTCCTATGTGATCATAGAATATCTGTGAAGCTGAAGGGAAAACATGACAACTATATCGCCATCAATGTTCTATGGCTCAGAATGGTGAAAATCAAGAAACATTCACAAAAATGATTGTAGCAGCAATGATGTTATGATAGACATCTGTGAATATGTACTGAGATATATGATGGAACTGAGTGCATTCACAAGATGTTCGTTGTTATTTAGGATAAAATGAGAGATTCGATGAATATGGTTTGACCATGTACAATGGAGACTACTAAATGCACCATTTAGAAGGTACGACTCTAATTAATTGAGAATGGAAGACTGGAGGTAGGTCTATGGGGACTTGGTTGGACGATGGAAGGAATTAAGAAGGATATGTCGGCGGTTTTAATAAAGGAGATATCTCTTAATAAAACTGAATGGAAGAATAGGATTGATGTAGCTAATCCCAAAATTTAGAGATAAAGGCTTCCTGGTTGTTGTATCTAATTCAAAGACTGTTTTGTTTGAAAAGTATATCTGATTACTATGTAAAAATTAAATTTTCCTTTCGTCATTGAAGATTAGACGATGTGTGTTATTTAAATTTTAAAAAAAGAACCGTTGAGTGTTATGTACTTATGAGATATTTTTGATTTTTGCATAACATAATTGATAAACTAGTATTTAGATGAATGTTAAACTTATTATTATGACAGTTATTTATTGATACTTGCATGAGTTTGTTTGAGAAATGAGTAGGGTTTAAAATTCTCCATTATGCTCACTGAAATGTTAGATATTTTCCTTGTTACCTTTCACTGAATGGTTTTAGCTATACAAACTTAAAATTATAAGCGTATCATGAGTAGAACTCACAGATGTTGCACTCATGTGCTTGTTATTAATTGTTTGAAAAGCTTACATTTAATCATTGTGGTAACTGTCATGATATGTCTATAGGTCAGGCTATTTAAATTTGTAAAGAGGTTTGGTGGTGGTTGTAATATAATTTGATAGCCAGGTGTTCATACATATTCGGAAATTTGAATAATTTTGCCATCACGCAGTTTGGACTCCTTATCTTAGGGGTAGAATACTTTCACATTGTGGGCTTACTATTCAATAAAATCATTTTCTCGATAACTAATCAAATCATATAGTTATTATATGTCCAGCATAACTTCATAATTTAAGATGGAGAAATTTCCACTGCCATTGACTTGACTGTAGCAGATCCATCCATGTGGTTTAGAGCTGCATTTTGATAATCTACTGGTTCTTGTCTGGTTCTCAAGTAATGGATCTGGGTATGTCTGTGTTGTGTATGTGTGGGTAAGTTTGTGCTACATTGTTGCAATGTTGCTTCCTGATATGCTTCCTAGCCACATTAAGATGTCCTGATGAACAAAAATTGTTAATACCCTCATCTGTAACTTTTCTCATCACTTGGTGATCTCATATTCTGGCATGATATCTTTCTTAGCATTGTTAGTATTTAGCTGTTTATGATTGTGTTTTCGTTGATCTTTGATCTAGTTCCTGTTTTCCTATTCAGTTCTCTTTGTTTTAGTTTTCTCTATTTGTGTTAGATTAATAATTTGCTAACTGATCTTAAGGACACTTATGAAGCCTCTTTTTTTGTACGTTTTTTTTTTCTTTTTTTCTTTTTTTTTTTGGGGTGGGGGGGTGGGGGGGGTNAAGTGTACTTGTGCTGGCCTGTAAGAGGTATGGAACCACAGTATTAAAATTAGAGTGAAGGAAGCAGTGGAAATCTGTATCGTTTGGGAATGTATCAGCTACTGATACATTGTATTGTTCTAAATATCAAACATCCTGTATTTGCTTCCAAAGTAACTTCAGACCTTTTGGAGGATTATCTTTTTGTGGGTGCATGGGTGGGTAAATGAAATCGGGATACATGCAACAACCAACCGGCTTTTGCCTATGTGTATGAGTAGTATTTATAACTGGCCCAGTTTTCTTCAATAATTCATTTTCTTTTGACTAAAAGGATTCACACAGATGGGGTTCCCCCTTTGCTGTCTTATTCTTGAGTTTTAATCAGTAGCCGTTTTGCTTTAGCAATATTTTTTGCTGTTTAAATTAAATGTGATGATACGCTTGACAGGAGTGTGCAATCATGCCTTCCACTTTCACTGCATTAGTAGGTGGCTCAAGACCCGGCAAGTTTGTCCTTTGGGTAAGCAGACATTTCAAATCATGTTTTAATTTACAATCAAGTGCGGATACACTCTTTGTACTATGAGGGTATATACGCACTTATATGTCCTAAAATATTTTATTAGCGCTTACACAGCTTGAACTTGAGACTGCATTTGGTTGAGATGTCACATGAGAATTACATGATAAAGTATCTTTTGCCCTCAGTTTGACTGAGAAAAAGGCTACGCTTCCTCTTATATGAGGGTGAAAAGTGACTCCATCTGAGTATCAAAGGGTGTCTTAATGCATATTACAGTGTAGGGGGTATAACTGGCTACACCACTGATAGTACAAGGGGTTTATGTGCGATTAACCCTTTATTTTATATTATTAAGCAGTATTGTTAGTGTGTATCTCTGTGTGATTTATTTTATTCCTCACAAACATGCAGATAACAGCGAGTGGGAGTTCCAGAAATATGGCCACTAGGCTTTGGCCCCTTGAAGTCATCCAAACCATTTCAACTTCATTCACTGTTATAGAACTAAATTTGCCTGGAGGATAAACAAAGCTTTTGTATCAGTTCGGTTTTCCTAAATGCATGTTTCGTTTTGAATTAAGGAATTGATTTCTGGTGGAATTTGGTCCTGAATGCTTGTCAAAATTATGGGAGTAGATGGTAATGATTGGTTTTGAGTTTATATTTGCTGACTTCGATATGAGATTCCACGGTGCAGTACGTGGTGTGATCTCATCAGCCAGCTCAAACAAAGTAGGCTCTTTTCTTTTTCTTCTTGGTAATTCAAAGTTTTGACAAGTATTTCAGTGAAAGTCTTGATTAAGAAATGATTAAGAAAATATAAAATGTGGGCTAATCAGGTTGTTGCCCAATGTGCTTTCTTGATTGTGCTTTTTGTCAACTGGACAAGAATTAACGGACGGTTCTTGTTGCGTGTAGCTTGGCGCCAGTTGAGTATCGGTGCGTGTTGATTAGTATCAGTTCTGCGCAGCTCAACTGTAGAGCGTGTATGCGTGTTGAGGGATCCATTGGTACATGACATCTGGTTGTTTGGAGGCAAGTTTGAACCTGGATTCTTGAACGCTTTAAGATCAGCGTTCAAGGATGCATAGCAGTTTTTTCATCCATTACGATGGTTAAAATAGGGAAAAGGTCTTAAGATGCCTAAGTTTTAACTGCGTCCATTTTCAACTCGTTGCGTGCTGACTATTATTGGCGCTAGGGGTGGCAAACGGGTCGACCCGACCCGACCCATATAAAATTTGACCCGACCCGTATAAGTGTGACCCGACCCGACTCGTTTAATAAATGGGTCAATGCGATCCAACCCGTTTATTAAACAGGTTACCCGACCCGACCCATCCCATATAACCTAAATGGTAGAGAATACTAAACATGTAGTGTGGTTGTAGTAGAAACTTGCATATTCTATTGTACTCTTTTAAGTGACTTATGCACACAGAAACCAGGTTACTATTTCTGATATGTTTATAAAGGTTCACTGCAAATTTCTGACCTATGCACATTTGGAGATAAACAAAATAATAAACAAACCATCATCAAAAAATGAAACAGAAACAAAACCAGGCATAGATATTGTACTCTTTTAAGTGAAATTCTTTCAAAATATTGAATGGCTACAATGTCATTCTACATACATACGCATCAAAAAAAAATTGGAGCAAGATTACTCCCATTAGAATGTTATACAGGTTCACAAACAGATTCATTTCAAGCTCTCTGCAACAAATCCAATTTCACAAACAGGTTCATTTCAAGCTCTCTGGATATTCTATTGCTTTCTTCTTGACGTGTTTAATTCTTTCTTCATCACGTTGTGATTTTTCATAGCCGGGATACTTCATGAATAAGAACTGTAAATTATTCGAAAATAATTTGATAAAGAGGGAAACAACACAAGAAAATAAAATTGAATGCTGAGAATATCAGAACTTGGTGTAATTTCAGTATTCCTAGAATATGCTACCAAAAAGGTAAACTATTGATTACATACCTCAAATTAGAGATGAATGACCAGAATAATACCTCAATGAAATAGCGAGGACCTGCACGTTACAAAAGTTTTAGCGGTACGTGAAGCTGAAGGAACTTTAAAAACAAGGAAAAAGAAAACAGTAATGCGCTTCTGAATGAAGCAGAATGGTTGATGCACCGTTGGAAAATGCTACAAACTTACAGCATGTGTGTGAAGGACATTGAACTTGTAATGAAATGGTCATGAAAGTAAGTGGAATTTTCTCATACACGTAGTACTTGAGCATTTATCTAACTAAAATCTCATATGTATAACCTGACACAAAAACTCTCAGGAGTCAAGAACAGGCATACGAAGAGATTCAACTTGTTTCACTGTTAAACTAACATCAAAGTGTCCAATCCAAACACAAACACTTTGATCACAAATTAAACTATACAAATGAGAAACAATCAACCAGTCTAACTGTAGAACCCCGTAATTTTTATATGAATATATGTGAATTATTAATAAATAAATAATTCTTTTATGATAAATAGCTTGAGGTCATTGATATACATGATAATAAGTTATTTGAGATGATATGAGAGTTTGGGTGTAGAGTTTTGTGCGTTGGTTTTGCAAATTAGCAAAACATGCACAAAAACTGAATTTTTCCAGATCAGTCGACACATCAGTCGACTGATAAGCTGATTTTCAGTTTTTAGGTTTCGGGTCTGTTTTGTTTTGGTTCGGGTTTGGGTCGGGTTTAGCTGTTCATATATATTCTTTTTCACCCGAATTCACCCCTCTCATCTTCAGATCTGAGAGAACCCTAGCCCCATCTCCTCTATCTCAAACTCTAGCCTTGTTCTTGGTAATTTGGGGAAGAACTTGGAGGATTTTCGTCGAAATCTTCACATTGCAGCAAAGGGGGTCCACTCTCTCTCAGATCCAGGAGTTGTTCATCACCCAGAGGCGAGTAACATCTCGCCCAACTCTGTCCCTTTTGTTTTACACGGATTTATTGAATTTAATGAGTTTTGATTTAGCCAGAAACGTATTTTTAGTACAAAGAATGAATCTTTATGGTATATGAGGTGGGGTATTGAGCATCTCAGTTTATAAAAGGACCAACAATGTTTTATTAAAGAGATCTAGATCTGAAATGTGTTTATAAGAGATTTAACATGAGTTTTGTTTTAACATGAGATTTAACATGAGTTTTGTTTTAAAAATGTTTTAAAACATAAATACACATGTTTAGGGTTTTGTTTATGTATTCACACATGAAATTTTCGTTTCAGTTTAGTTCATACATGTTAATATCAGTATTTTCATGCTTGGGATTGATGGGGATGAGTTTAGATCGAATTTTGTGTAAATAGCAACCTGTGCAGAGTTTCTGCAGTCTATCGGTCGACTGATCAGTCGACCGACGGGCAAATTTTCAGTCATCAGTCGACCGATCAGTCGACTGACGGGCTGATTTTGTTTTCTCAACTTCTCAGTCGACTGATCAGTCGACTGGTGAGCTGAGGCTGTGCTGCCTGAGCCTTATCGGTCGACTTATGAGTCGACTGACGTCATCAGTCGACACATCAGTCGACTGATGAGATGTTTTACAGATTCTTGATCTGTTTGAGTTGCTTTTTGGGGTCGCCTCGATAACCTGACCCTAGTTTACCATGTTAATGATTTATCTGTACATGTGGGTTAACTTTTGACACAAGTTTAGACATGTACACCGAGATGCGGATGAGTATAGAATATGTATATCAGTCCGTATATACTTTTCACAGTTACACAGTCCTCGTGTTGGACTATAATCCATAGAAGTCCTCGTGTTGGACTATAATCCATTCTTGTCCTCGTGTTGGACACTTGCCACTTATTCCATGTGTTTGGAAAACTACAGTATCTAGTCCCTGTATCAGACATATTTCTTGACCCTGCTTATGACTTTCTCACAGGAGTTTTATAACATGACACTTATGTAGATTATAACATGGCATGCATGTAAGTAATAACATGATGCTCATGTAAGCTATGACATGGCACTGTACTTATGCCCTGAGATTAGTTGTATTTCTTTTATTAATGCCTCCTGTACTAGAACCTCGGGTTTAGTGTTTAGGGATTTATAATTTGAGATACAAGGCATATACATGAGGGTTTCCTTGTTTGGATTATTTCGCTCGACGTACCTATGCTCGTGTTGTAAATTCCTAAATACTAAAAATCCTCTTTAGTAAGATCAATGATTTTAGATCTATTATGTTCCCTTGGGGTTGGTTGTGATGTTACTCGCTAGCGCTTTGACGCTCGTTGTCCCTCCCCCTTTCAGGTAACGAGCCAGGAGCCCGGAGAGTCGCAGGTTGATGGCGACACACTTTAGTGTTCAGTTGTCTATTTTAGCTATGTTTTATTTTGGAGCTCCACTGTAGATTTATTTGTCATTTGAGGACTATTCTCTAGATGTTGTAAAGGATGTATGCCTTATTTCCTTTACTCAGATATTTATACTTGAGACTTGTTGAGTATTCCAGTTATCCATTCAGACATTGGCTATGTATTTCTGTATGTTGGATGATGATATATTTATGTGATCACTATCACTTCATCAGTTATTTCTTGCACTATCTTTTACTTGTTTTTGTACCTACACCTATTGTTGACTCTACTAGATAGATGTTAATTGTGATGGTGAAACATGTTATTGTACGGTGAGGTGCAAGGCAGGTTTGACATTCTTGGTTTCACCTTAGACTGCAGCCTTGTGTGAACCCAGGGGCGTCACAGTTAGTATCAGAGCTCTAGTTCCAGTATCCTTAGGATCATCCTGTGTCGAGTCGTGGAGCTAGGATAGAGTTTCTTAGGATTCGTGTATAGAGTCCGTAAGGATCTCCTAGTATGAGTGAGGACGATATATGCGTATATCTCAAAATTTGAGAATTTTTTTTTATAACGACTATTTTTGTATAAGTTTAAAGTATTTGTGCAAATACTATATGTTGTGAAAATTATATTATGATACGCTATTTATAGAGGTCTATTTTGACTCATAAACTCTTATTTTCTTATGATCAGAGAGATGACAGGACGTGGTAGGCCTCGTACTCGGAGAGCTGGGCAGGCAGAGTCACAGCAGACTCCCTCTGAGCAGCAGCCAGCTCAATCCGAACCTCAGCAGGTACCACCCGAGCCGCAGCAGGCTCCTCAGTATTTGGTGGATATCATGGCGCCTCTTATTGCCCGGATGACAGCTATTGAGGAGTTGGTGACGACTCATATAGCACCACGAACACCACCACCACCGGTAGCTCAGCAGCAGGGGATACCCGCCGTTCCTGTTAGAGAGAGATCCCCAGAGATCACGCCTACAGCTGTTCCTCTAGCAGTCCCAGATAGAGCCACAGAGCAGGAGGCTTGGCTCCGTATGGTAGAGAGATACCAGAAGATGAGGGCACCAGAGTTTCAGGGATCACCAGACCCTCTTGCAGCCCATAAGTGGAAGGAGGATGTGGGCAATATTCTTGACATACTCAGTGTAGATTCAGTCCAGAAGCAGAGGTCGGCATCCTATAGTCTGAAGGGAGATGCCGGGAGATGGTACCGACTGCAGTTTACTCCAGAGCAGAGGATGACCCTCACATGGGAGGACTTCATATACTTCTTTGATGGGCAGTACATTTCGTCTGCAGCAC